AACTGCTCATCGATGAAATTTTTAAATTTTTTTTTTTTTTTTTTTTTTTTTTTTTTTATCATATCAGCATAAAAAAGAGAAGACTCTTTATTCTTGAATATTCTACAAAATAAATAATGTGTGATATTTAATATGATATAAAGTATTTTGTCCTATACCGAGATTTAATATTCTACTTTTCTGTTCATTGCAGCAGACGAAGAACCAGAGAAAAAGGAGCTCCTAGGGGTAAATACAGGCATCATCACTAAACCTGCGAAACCGAACCCATTTGTAAAGATTTTTTCTTTTTTTCATAAAGAATTGCATATTAAGCTTTACCAGGCTTGCAAAATGGCTTTTGCATGCATTTCTCGAATTCGACATTGATGTGTTACAGTTATTCATGCATGTTATTCGACGCATTTCTACAGACTTACATTGAAAGAACAAAGTACAGCGTCCCTGCATTTAACCATACAATATGCATTAAATCCACAATTCACTAAATCTATCAACAAACATGCATTGCATCGTGAAAAATGTACAAGTATTTGATCGGAACAATAATGCTTATATAAACTTTCATCAACACTTCCAGTCTAAATTCCAAATACGACTTTCGTACACTCATAAACCCGCGCTTTTTTCGCAACGCCAAACAAAGACATAGCACAATATTTTGCACCCATCATCGGAATCCAATAAATTATCAGAGATATTGTACTTTTCTTCAACAGTCAATGGAAGATCTAAGAGAAGAACCTGAACTGGAAGAACGCGAGGAGGAAGAGGAGGAAGAAGAGGAGGAAGAGGACGTCCAAGAGCCGGAGGCGGACAAGAACAAAGATGAATCACAGGAGGAGCAACAAGAGGAGCAGGAAAAGAACGAGAGTAAAGATGAAGATGACGAGCCCCTCGTCAGGCCGGTAAGAAACAAGGCGGCAAGGAAAGCTTCCTTGACCGATGAATTGGACCCAGACGACACGCAGGCCCTCCTCGAGACCAACTTCTCCGTGACGGGTTTAAATGAAATCAAAACCGAGCGTATAATACCCAGAGTAAATAATACCACAAAAAATATCACAAAGAGACCGATGAGTCTTGACCTCAGTGCACCGATCAAGTTCAGAAAGCTACGCGAAGGAGCTTGGCCCGAGAAGGTCACGGCGAGGTTGATCGACAATGAAGTGAGTCTCCAGTCTCGAGGTAGAGGCTACATCGACGCCGCGTATCGCATTCAGGACAAGTAATTAAATCGACTGACGACAATAATTAATACGTTCAAAATAATCCCACGTTTCGACCATTGTATATATCGCGTAGAGCGATCGTTTTCAAATGACAATCACGTGTACATCTAAATTTTAGGACAGTATAATTTAGCAATATACATATAGTATTAAGAAGATCGTTGAATGTGGTTAAAATGTGACGTGATCAATTTTGTTATATAAATATCTAATAATATTTAATTTAAAATATCTAATATTTTGTTTAAACAAGAAATTTATGAATTGGAGATATCCATCGCACTCTCGGTTACTCGTAATCTTATCCATTCAAAATTACGTTTTTCACATGAAAAGAATAGAACTTTATTATTAGAAAATAAAATAGTATAGCAACTTGTTCCTTCAATGATGAAAAATAACAATTGATCAATGTTGCAAATTCAGTAAATTGCTTCTATTGCCTTCACAGATATCTATACTAAACTATAGATTGCTAACTTGTCACGATAACAATGGCATGGCTTGCGTCCGATAGGATTCCCAATGTATGAGAAAAAATGGCCGCCGCCGCCACATAAGAAAGAGAAAGAAAGATTTTCTTAAAACTCACACCAATGATTCGCTTCACACACACAGGACCGCAGCCATTTTTTCTCATACAACCGGAAATCTCATGCGACGCAAGTCAGAAGGTCCAGTTAGCAATCTAGTTGAATATAGACATCTGTGGTTGCCTTGAAATAGTCACTTGTTGTTTACGTCTCGTTGTAGAATCAATACTAATTTCCTGTGGTCGTAAACCACAATTGTATCTTTTACTTACTTAATTTTATGAGTTCTTTACGTAAGTCATATATGTTTCTTCCAAAGTTTAAGCAGCTCATAATAGCCGCATTCGGAGAGAGAAAGACGTTCAAATAATGTACTTAAAATTAGCGCGTAGTCGAGCATTTGTTTTTTATTACATAGCACATTTTATCAGTATTTTTCCAGTATTAGCTGTAGGAAGAGCCCTTATTTAGCTCTGACAAAATATTATTTTAAAATTCTAGTGCCTATATATATAATAATACTTAACGATGTTGAAAGTAGCATTGCCTTCACAGATATCTACTATACTAAACTAATTGCTAACTTGTCACGATAACAATGGCATGGCTTGCGTCCGATAGGATTCCCAATGTATGAGAAAAAATGGCCGCCGCCGCCACATAAGAAAGAGAAAGAAAGATTTTCTTAAAACTCACACCAATGATTCGCTTCACACACACAGGACCGCAGCCATTTTTTCTCATACAACCGGAAATCTCATGCGACGCAAGTCAGAAGGTCCAGTTAGCAATCTAGTTGAATATAGACATCTGTGGTTGCCTTGAAATAGTCACTTGTTGTTTACGTCTCGTTGTAGAATCAATACTAATTTCCTGTGGTCGTAAACCACAATTGTATCTTTTACTTACTTAATTTTATGAGTTCTTTACGTAAGTCATATATGTTTCTTCCAAAGTTTAAGCAGCTCATAATAGCCGCATTCGGAGAGAGAAAGACGTTCAAATAATGTACTTAAAATTAGCGCGTAGTCGAGCATTTGTTTTTTATTACATAGCACATTTTATCAGTATTTTTCCAGTATTAGCTGTAGGAAGAGCCCTTATTTAGCTCTGACAAAATATTATTTTAAAATTCTAGTGCCTATATATATAATAATACTTAACGATGTTGAAAGTAGCATTAAAAATAAATTTACAATGAGTACTTCGAGATAAGATGACGCGAATCCGTATCGTCGAGTGCGAATCGCGTAGTTTTATTTAAAAAAGAAGATAAATATTAAAAAACAAAATATTATTTTATCAATTAAAATCATACATAAAAAAAAATTTGTGTTTTTACGATATCGGATCGATATTGTATCGGAATTAACTAAAAAAAATCTCCATAGTATAAGTTCATATTATTATCATTGAAGGCTACGGTGTACGCCAAACGAACTGTTATTACAATTACTGATTAAATTATTTTGAATTATTGTGAATTTTTTTTTAGGAGTTTGCACACAGATTTATTTTTAATATATAAACAATAATTACAATAATTTTTTTCTATAGTTCGCTTTATGTGTACACCAGTGAGCCTGTTTAGTTTGATTTCACTGCTTCGTGCGCAATTGTACAAAGCGAGTCTGATATTTGTGTGCTTTTGGTGGCGATCAAAATAATCATGCGATAAAATGCCTGCACAAAGCATATCGCGAAAATCGAATCATCCAAAAGTCTGATTTAATTCCTCAGACTTTAATACGAGGCGCCATATTTTCAGCACAGGGATTGGTCTGTCAGGATGAGTGTCGAGGAGAGCGTTATACCGTTAGACTCAATTTTAAAACCCGATGAAACGAAAACACCGTGCGAACTTTAAAGGTACGAGATTTTTTTTTTTTTACACACGTCGATAATAACCCGTACGAATGTTAACTCGAGAAGAGTCGCATCTTGATTTACTCTCCGCAGTCTCTCGTCCCTTTCTTGATCGCGGGATGCAATTTACTACATACTTTCAATATTTACGCATTTAAATCTGCTTCCTCGGATGCATTGGCAATTAACAGAAAAACGCTTACAACGATGCTATTATGATTTGAGTGCGAACGAACGCTACACGTTATTAATATCACTGCGATCAGTTTATGATACTATGTAAAACAAAAGTTTAACTATTATTTCAATATGAAAAGCAGATTAAATTATAACAATTCTTTGTTAGTATTGATAAGAGAGAAATCAGGTTTGTGTACAAAAAATTGTATTATACCAAAATTTTCGAATTATTTATAGTTATTACTATTTTGCATCTTACGATTTCATTTTCTGAATATTATTGCATTTTTATTATTGCAGGTTTCTTTTAATAATTTAATATCTTGCGTGTGGACAGCTAATAGCACAATCGGCGAACGAAAAAGACGCGTTGAGTATTCGAATGCACGATTTAAATGCGACGATGCATCTCATTCGGAATGACGAAAAGATTTATATTCTTCCGAAATAATTAGCAGCTAGATATTAACCCGTGAGAGTCTCGCGAGAGACACATTTTATAGCATGTTATATATTTAAAATAACAGAGAAAATATACAATTTTTTCCATTGACTCGAGTTTGTTGCATCGCTGCAACCATTTCTCATACTGCCTCTCCTACACTGCTAAGCTTCTTGTCGCAAGTTCATCGATTTTTTTCACGACGAAATTTCTTAACCAGGGAATGGAGAAACAATTTGACAGATTGATTTTACGCGTTACTTTCGAATTATTATTATGAGCATTTTGTATAACGAATAACTTTCTCTCCCACTATCAGGCATGTGCATGATATATGCTGATAATAATTAATTTTTTTTTATTAATTAAAGGAATTTATTGAAAATAGGATTGTATCCGAAGAATATGATAGGGGAATCTCTTCAATTCTGAATTTCTCTGAAAGTCAAGAATTAAATTGTGAAGAAGATGGAGAGAGAGAGAGAGAGAGAGAGAGAGAGAGAGATTGTATAATATATCAATGTTTGATGTAAATTACAATCGACGCATTCCCAGGTTAAACTCATCATCAATTTACGAATATTTCGCTAAGCCATCAATAAGGCCTTTTCTCGTAAACGAGTATTGAAATGATTGATTCGAATGATATCGAAAATGGATTTGTTCATGGCACACGAGATACATTTACTTCATCGCATGCACGCTTTAAACCACTGATTCTGTTAAACAAACCTAAATATTTAAGCGTGCTTGCTGCATATATGTATTGATTAAAATGAATCTTTTATTTTGCCCTTGTGATATATAGCCATCATATACATGGCGAGAAATTGAGAGATTTTATATATATATAAATATATATATATCTTCGATCTATTTAGGCGTCTGCCAACGGAGATACTGGACGACAATCAAACATGCAAGGAAATCCCTGCTTAGGTCAGTAATATGAATAAAAAAAAAA